CGACTGGCGGCAGCAGCGGGGGTGGGGCCGGCGAGTGGGCAGTGCCAGGCCAGCCAGGACGAGTGTGAGCGGGGGCCCGATCGCCCCGCTGGTTGCCTCCCAGATCGGCCCTGATCGCGGCCAGGCCTAGGGACCCTACCCATGCACGAATTTGTGGACCGGGCCTCTAAGTTTTTTTTTAATAAACACAACCATGAGGACTTTTTTTATTTTTAACAGTATATTATTTTTGCCTGGCTGGCATGACTCAGTGGCTGAGTGTTGACCTATGAACCAGGAAGTCACAGTTCGATTCCTGGTTCGGGCACAGGCCCGGGTTGAGGGCTGGATACCCAGGGGGGGCTGTGCAGGAGGCAGCTGATTGATGTTTCTCTCTCTCACTCCCTCTCCCAACTTCTCTGAAATCAATAAAAACATTAAAAAAAAAAAGACAAGAAACCTGTCCCTTGTATGACTCTCTCGTCTCTCCCCTAGAATCACGGCACCAAATTAAGCCGTGACTAAGCCGAGAACAGCCCAGCCCCACCTCCACCTCTCACCTCCCCAAAGCCAACCGGTCACCACGAGCAGAGCCCGCAGGGCCCGGGACACTCACTCCATCATGGACGCCTCCTTGGTCTCCAGGATGTGGTCGGTCAGGATCCAGGGCATGGACATCTCGATGGGGAACTGGATGCGCCGGCCCATGGTGAGCTCCAGGAAGAACTCGCGGAACCACAGCTGCGAGAGGTCGCAGCACTGCTGCAGGGTCTCTGGGGGTGCAGACGGCAGTGGGTCAGTCTCCGCCAACGGCACAGACTCACAGACTCACAGACAGACAGACAGACAGACAGGGCGAGGGCCGTGCACCAGGCGCCAGGTCCTTTGCCATCAGCCCGGAGCCATGCGGGGGTGTTGTGGACAGGGTCTCGGGCCCCTCACACTGGGGACGGGACACCTGACTGCAGGCAGCCCCCGGGCCTGTGCCCGCTCTCACCCAGGGAAGGGCAGAGGGGGTGTCTGGGCTGTGGGTCTGACAGGGACATCGGTGCCTCTCGTGGGCCCTGTGGGCCTCGGGGGCTGGGAGGAAAGTGCTTTTGAAAAGGAGCAGTGAGACCAGGACGGCCCTGTTTTGCTGGGGAGCAGACGCAGCATTTCCTGCACACGCCGTGGGGTTAGTTAGTGCAAAAGGACTGTTTTTTATGCTTCTGCCCTGTGATGGAGTGAAAAGCAAAAAGCTCGTTATTCACTGCAAACCTGCAGCGTCCCAGCCAAGACGGGGCCTCCCGTTCGGAGCACACGGCTGTGACAGGATAACCAAGGGCACGCACCCGGCGCCCTGGTCCAGGGGACCTGCGTCTCCCCAGGGCAGCTGCCTGAGCCAGGGGATCTGCCCACTGCGCACATCACTGCCAGAGGGGACGTTCGCTGGTCGTGTCAGACCCTGTGTGGCTGAAGGGCCAGCTACGGCCCCACGGCCCTCACCCTTCCAAAGGCCATGCCGCTCGGAGGGGCACCCGGCCGGCCATGCGTTCACAGCAGCAGGTGAAGGTTGCTACAGGGTCACCACACCTCACCACCCGGTGCGGGTGCGTGCAGGGACCTCAGCGGGGACGGTCAGCAGGCGGAAGCGTTCTGGACGGTGTTAGCGGTGTTAGAGCATGCTGGGCCGGGCGCTGGTCAGCAGTGTCTCTTACCGCTGAAATTTATCAAGTGAGTGTAGAAGAAGGACTCTCGATGGAATTTTTCTATGTCCAATATGGTGGGCCCCTCAAGGCTACTTCTCAGGGTTTTCTTGGAGCCACTTTTGTCTGCAATGAGGGACTCTAGCATGGTTCTCACCATGTAAAGCTGCGTTATCCAGGGAAACGGTGGCGGGAGAAAACACACAGGCAGCATTAGTCGCACCAGACGCTGCTCGGCCCCAGGAGGGCTGCTCAGAGGCCCTGACCTGAGCTGGGCTCCCCGGCTCCGCTAAGGGGTCTGGGCGCCCATCTAGTGGCCGCGGGCTGCTGCGTGGGAGGAAGGACCTGCGAAGGAGCACTTCGCCTCCGTGCCCTGAACGTCAGCAAGGTAAACGAACGATGTCTTACCCCCGAAGGTTAAGAGAGGCGGATAGGTGTAGGACTGCCTCAGAAACGCGTTAACCACATGCACCAGCCTCTCCATGCCCAGAGACTTGAGCTGCCGCAGCAGCTCGGCGGAGCTCAAGGACTCTGCCATGGTGCGCACCAGGTACAGCTAGACACGGACAGACACGGGAGAGGCGGAGAGAGCGTTAGTCACACGACACGCAGAGCGGGGACACACACACGGGGCGCGGGGCATACACCGCGGACGACCCGGACGGGGCTTCCTCCCAGATACCGAGCGTCCCATTCACAGCCAGCAACGTGCTTTGCTGGGGATCCCGGTGACCGGCAGGCAGGGCCGGGCCCCCACGGGAGGAGAAAGCAGAGGGCGGGGGGCAGGTGTGAGTCAGGAGAAAGCTGCTTCGGGGGCCGAACGAGAGAAACAAAGCGGTGGTGACTCAATTCCGGGCACAAAAGCTACATTTTTAAATCTCTCCAAGCTGTCTCTTCAGGAATAACACCCTGCAGCACAACGTGAAAATCGTTCCCACGCCCGAAACAGCCACCGAGAAGCAGCGTGAATACAGACAGACGGTCACCCGTGTTTTGGACTCGGGCGTTGGGCCGTCAGATTAAGGTCTGCATGCAAGTGAGCGAGCCGGGCAGTCCCTGCGCTGTCCCGGGCAGCACTCGGACCCACGCGGGCCGCGGACAGAGGGGCCGGAGAGACACAGGCAAGACGGGATTTGTCCGAGCGTAGAGGTGACCGTATTTCACTCCTGACCGCGCTTCCCGACCCCCCGCTCAGGGTTGGCCCTCTTGGGGGACAGGCAGAGACGGGGGACCAGGGACGAGAACCTGCGTACTGGAGGGTCCCACGGCGCGGCGAGGCACTTTAATGTCGAAGCCGCTTTTGGGGTCCTTCTCGCCCCGCAGGGCTGGGTCGTTGAAGGGCTCGTGCCCCGTCTCCCAGTCGCACACAGTCTTCCTGATGGCCTGCAGGACACTAAACACGGACGAGCGCTGGCGCCGTGGGGCCACACCGGACGCCCACCCAGCTCAACGGGAAATTTTAAAAATAGATTGTTGCCCGGCTGCCGTGGCTCCGTGGCTGAGTGTCAGCCATGAACCAGAGGTCACGGCTCTATTCCTGATCAGGCCACATGCCCAGGCTGTGGGCTCCATCCCCAGTGTGAGACGTGCAAGAGGCAGCCAATGGATGTTCCTCTCTCTCTCCCCCTTCCTCTCTGTCTAAAACCAATAAAAACAAATATATAAAAACCCTAAGATGCAAATAGACTGAATGGTGTAATAACTGAACAACCAGGCCCTATGATATGCACTGACCACCAGGGGGCGCGCGCAGAACATGCCGGGCATGGCGGCAGCGGGACGGTGGAGCAGGTGAGTGGGGGCGCCAGACCAACTGTCATCGGGACGAGCCTCTGGTGGTTACTGAAAATCCTTTGCTACTGCCCG